AGACTGAGGGAGAGATTGGGGGGAGGGAGACTGAGGGAGAGGATTGGGGGAGGGGAAACTGAGAACTGAGGAGAGATTGGGGGGGAGGGAGACTGAGGGAGAGATTGGGGGGAGGGAGACGAGGGAGAGATTGGGGTGGGAGGGAAACTGAGGGAGAGATTGGGGGAGGGAGACTGAGGGAGAGATTGGGGGGAGGGGAGACTGAGGGAGAGATTGGGGAGGGAGACCGAGGGAGAGACGGGGGAGGGGAGACTAAGGGAGAGATGGGGGAAAAGCAAGACTGAGGAGAGATGGGGGGGAAGGATACTGAGGGAGAGATGGGGGGAGGAGACTGAGGGAGAGATGGGGGAGGAGACTGAGGGAGAGATGGGGGGGAAGGAGACTGAGGGAGAGATGGGCTGAGGGAGAAGGAGGACTGAGGGGAGAGATGGGGGAGGGAGAAGGAGACTGAGGGAGAGATGGGGGGAGGGAGAAGGAGACTGAGGGAGAGATGGGGGGAAGGAGACTGAGGGAGAAATGTGGGGAGAAAACTTAGTGTGGGATGGGAGAAAAAAAATGAGGGAGGGATGGGGGGAAAGAAAACAGGGGGGAGAGGGGGGACGACATACACACAGCACCCCTGCCCTACACATATCACCCCACAAAAAGACACACACACACACAACACCCCACCCACACACATCACTCCACCCACAAACACATACACTGTACCCCTCAATGCAGTGTGTGTACACTCAGCAGTCTGTCTGTGTGTGTACACTCAGCAGTCTGTGTGTGTGTGTACACTCAGCAGTCTGTATGTGTGTGTACACTCAGCAGTCTGTCTGTGTGTGTACACTCAGCAATCTGTCTGTGTGTGTGTACACTCAGCAATCTGTCTGTGTGTGTACACTCAGCAGTCTGTGTGTGTGTACACTCAGCAGTCTGTCTGTGTGTGTACACTCAGCAGTCTGTCTGTGTGTGTACACTCAGCAGTCTGTCTGTGTGTGTACACTCAGCAGTCTGTCTGTGTGTGTACACTCAGCAGTCTGTGTGTGTGTGTGTCAGTGTGTGTGTGTGTGTATTTAGCAGTCTGTGTGTGTGTGTATTTAGCAGTCTGTGTGTGTGTGTGTGTGTATTTAGCAGTCTGTGTGTGTATTCAGCAGACTGTGTACTCAGCAGTCTGCTAAATACAGACAGACTGCTAAATACACATACAGACAGACTGCCGAGCACACACACAAACTGCTTAATACACACACAGAGATGTTAATTAGTTCGAACAACTGTATGAGTTGTTTTTTTCTAAACTTAAACCTCAGTATTCAGGTTTAAATGCCGTTTTGGCACTTTGAGGGGGAAAAATTGGCATGTATTACGGTTTGGGCACTCGGGCTCAAAAAGGTTCGCCATCACTGATCTAGATTGTAAAACCCACGGGAATAGGGCCCTCAATTTCTCCTGTACGTATGTCAAATTTTGTATTACATCAGATGTATTGTAACTTTGTATTTTTACTTGTACCAAATGTACCTACGTACAGAGCTGCGGAACATGTTTGGCATTTTATAAATAAAGTATAATAAAAGTAATAATTTAAATAAGTTTTCGCTTTATGATGAGATGAATAGTTAGTCCAGCCTTAGCCAAAAAGTGGCTTGATAACCCACAAATGGCAACTGAATAAGGAACGTGAAATAAGCTCTACCTTAATTTCTGAGCTCTCGTCAGGTAAAATGCAGCGGTTTAGAGTGACGATGAAATCCTGCCCTCTGAGATAAAAAAAAGATAGCCCCAGAAGAGAAGACAATGTCAATACCATTCTTTGAGAGTGCCAATAAACGACATTCCAATGGAAAGTGAAAGGGTGATGTCACAAATTCCTTCCAGAGTGAACCGAGCACAACCAATGATCTAGCCATCAATTAAGGGGGAGTGGGTAGTGTTGAACTGTATATATACAAAGCACACACACACACACACACACACACAGGAATAAAAATGTCAGTAATCTTTACATTTGTCAATAACAATAGAATGTATTTATTTTGATTATTTCATAATGCAACAGTTACAGGTGCTGCCCAAGGCCATTCTGAACTAGCCCATTTTAGTACTGAGGGCAGATTCTCTGACTCAACAGACAACAGCTTCTCCAATTCCACCAAGGACTGCTACTCCTGCAGTTTAAATTCTCTGAGGACCGCTGCTCAGACTCCTCTGAGAACAGCTGCTCCATCTCTACTGGAGATGACTGACCCAACTCTACCGAACACAGCTGCTTTACACCACAAATAATAGCAGCACTAGGAAAAACGGTTCCAACTACAATCCTGATTTGAGCTGCTCTAAATCCACTGAGGATAGGTGCTCTCACTCCACAGAGAACAATTTCTCCAACTTCGCTGAGGAGGGCTGGACAAATTGAGAGGACAGCAGCTCTGGCTTCACAGAATCAGAAGACAGATGTCCCCTGAGAAGATCTTCTCTAACTCCCTTAAGGACAGCTTCTCCAAATCCATGGAGGACACCTTATCCAACTCCAATTAGGACAGCATCTCCAAGTCTACTGAGGAGAACTACTCCAACTCCACAGAAGACAGCTGTTCCAACTCCAAGAAGAAAAAAGGGGAACTGGGAGCACACAAGGAACATGCATTTATCAGTAGTGGTGCTGCCATAAAAACCAACGTATATATACAAAATACATATTACGGAACAGCACATACACAAAAAATACCATTTAGATTCCTATTGGGCTGAACATTCCACCTATCTACTATGGGTGACTCTTTGGAGGTGACCACAGGAAAGAATAAATTGAGAAGAGTCTCAATATAGCCATATCGTGTAACTGAATCTCCATATATGTTTGCTAAGATAGTTGATTTTAAGTAGCCGTGTACATTTCAAACTGTATTTTTTTGTGTGTGCACTGTTCCTTAATCTGTATTTTGGTTTTATGTTGGTCTTTACAGCAGTTCCACTACTTAGAAATGTATTTTACCTATCTTTCTTTTCCACGTTCTCTCAACCTTGTTACTAAACCCTTGGTCCACAAGGGTTTTTTTTTTCTCTTTTTTTTTTTTCTTTTCACCTCTTTATCTCTAACATTGTCTCAGTCTATGGTGGCATCATTTATTTCCCTCACTCAGGCATGAGTATACTGACGGAGAAATGAGGATGCCTAAAGTACACCCCGACAGGGATGGGGTTAAGGCACCTTTTCAGGAAGCAGGGCCTGACTGAAAATACAGTATCATCAATGGGAGGCGAGAGGAATAGCATTCATTAAGAGGCTTGACTATTGGGCTAACGTATTTTCGTGTTTTCAAGACTAAATTCTAGTATTTAGACTCCTTTACGAGCCTCACACTTGTAACACTCTTGCTATGCCTATCGTACGTAAAGTTGGGAATTTAAGTGATGTAGCCATATAAAAACATAAAACCCTCGATGGGGGGCAAAATGTATGGAATTTATGAAATGGCTTGTCATAGAGGCTGATTTTAATTTTTATGTTCATAAGTATGCTCTTCTATATTTTGGCTTCTGCGCAGGCCTCCAAGTTGTATTATGCTTGCATTGCCCATCGTGTGCAAAAATAAAGAATTTAAAAAAGAAAAGAAATGTATTTTAAAATTAGTACGGTGGAGTAAAATGGCTCACCAATACCTGATTTTGAGAACACACATTTTTTTCTATAAATTTTCTATAATTTTTTCATATATACAATACATGTATCACCCATGTAAAAGCTTTATAATAATCTATTGCCAGTTTGTTTTTATTATTTTCTTAAATGTTAACTTCTTACATGCTATGTGAATACTTCTCCACTAAGATCTTTAATCTTTTGTGCCTTTGCTTGTAGGCATTGACCTGTCAGTCATTCGTTGGTGTATAGCATTATCTCTGCCCATCACTGAATCCTGACCTGATTCCAAGCACAGAGACAGTGACACCATTATCTTTTGCAATTGGACATTTGTTTAATTAATTGCTCATTTTGTTCGTTCACCGCCAGGCTGGGCTCCACTCTATCAGTTATGCATGCCTGATCGTAAGGTGACGAACCTCTAGGGGACGATGGCTCTGTCCCTTTCATTTATTAATGCCAACTGGTCATAGGAGCCAGTGCTAATTACAGGCTCTGTCAGCTTATCCTGCTATTGAGAAGCGTCTAGATATGGTCTACCGACAGTAAAGTCTTAAATCACCTTACGTGGAGGGACATAGACAGTGGTAACAGTAGAAATAAAGACTGTATCAGTCACTTTGATGACAGAAAATGCATGTAGCATTGTCTCCGGTCTCATTGGTAGAAAAAAATTCTATTTTGGAGCCAACACCGCTTCCGATACAATTTAACATGTAGTTGATATGATCCGACTTTGGCACACATGGATTGTAGAATTTTCAAGATGAGAGGCATAGAACTGTAGGTGAAGAGTTTTTAAACATTAAACCTATCATTCCTCAAATTCAAGTTTTATCATTCCATACGTTATTTCAGGTATTAAAGCTTCATGTTTTACCACTCCGGTGCTTTACAATATTAAAAAAGGGGAAATTTAAAAATATGAAGACAATTACAAATTGCTACAGGAAAAATAAATTGATGAGGACCCTACTCAAACTATAATGTAGAGCAAGCATGTCAAACTCACGGCCTACAGTGAGCATCTTTGTGGCCCGGAGAGCCGCGAGTACATGCTTGGTGATAAAACAGAGCAGGCACCTGCTTTCTCCACCATGCAGGTGCCTACTCTGCTACAAATCATCCGGCCGGAGAGGAAGCAGGACGCTGGCGGCAGCAAGGGAGCTCAGTCTCGTGTGCGTCCTATGTCATCATATTCCGGCACCCGGCATCAGTAAACTGCGCGCGAGGGAACAGTGAGGAGCAGGTAAGAGTTAAAAACTTACCAGGAAAGGTTATAGGATCTTAACATGTATAGCTTGGAGGAAAGACAAGACATGGGGGATATGATAAGAACATTTAAATACATAAAGGGAATCAACACAGTAAAGGAGGAGACTATATTTAAAAGAAGAAAAACTACCACAACAAGAGGACATAGTCTTAAATTAGAGGGGCAAAGGTTTAAAAATAATATCAGGAAGTATTACTTTACTGAGAGGGTAGTGGATGCATGGAATAGCCTTCCAGCTGAAGTGGTAAAGGTTAACACAGTAAAGGAGTTTAAGCATGCGTGGGATAGGCATAAGGCTATCCTAACTATAAGATAAGGCCAGGAACTAATGAAAGTATTTAGAAAATTGGGCAGACTAGATGGGCCGAATGGTTCTTATCTGCCGTCACATTCTATGTTTCTATAAGAGATCTCCAGATAGTTCCCCACTGAACCCCAGGGAATGATGTGAGTGTGTGCAAGAATGTGTAAATGTGTGTGTCTGTCAGTGAGTGAGTGTGTGTGTCTCAGTGAGTGTGTGTCTGTCTGTCTGTTTGTGTCTGTCAGTGAGTTTGTGTGTATGTGTCTGTCAGTAAGTGTGTCTGTGTGTTAGTCAGTGAGTGTGTCTGTCTGTGTCTGTCAGTGAGTGTGTCTGTGTGTGTGTACATGTGTGTGTGTCTGTCAGTGTGTGTGTGTGTGTGTGTGTATGTGTCTGTCTGTGTGTCTGTATCACGTATTCATCCGCTTATAAAAATGTGGTTAATGGCATTTACTGTCCACATAGGAAAAGTTGTGCCGAGCAGCAACCAAATCCACAGAAGGGTTAATGTTGAGCAGCAATTATGCAAACGGGAACTTGGTAACTGCCTTTGGGGTCAAAGGCCGGTTACAGCCTATCTGATCTAGAAGGGGGGTATTTAGGCCCAGTTCTCATCCTGTTCAGTGCCCTGTCGTGGTTTCCCTTGTGGTTGTCCGAGAGTGCATTATTGATTCTGGTAATTCTGGTTATTTGACTTTGGCATTGTTTTTGACTTCCCTGTTTTCTGGCATCCCTGACTCCTGGCTTTTCTTTCTCGTTGTGTCTCTTGCTGTATCCCTTGACCTCGGCTATTCCTGACTATTCTTTGGTACGTTAGTCCGGCCATTCTAAGGTCCGGTATACATTACCTATCAGTCCTCTGTGTTAAACAATTCTACGTGCTGGATCATTCTGTAATCCTGAGAGTCTGTCAGTGTTTGTGTGTGTGTGTGTGTGTCAGTGAGTGTGTGTGTATGTGTGTCAGTGAGTGTGTGTGTGTGTGTCTGTCAGTGAGTGTGTCTGTGTGTGTGTGTTTATGTGTTCTTTTAGTTTGTATGTGTCAGTGAGTGTGTGTGTGTCAGCGAGTGTGTGTCGGTCAGTGTTGTTATGGCCACGGCTGAACAGTGGAGTACCTGGAGGTGCACGGAGGCACGCAACGCCACATTACATTCCGACGTGACGTTGACATGTTCCACCTCCACAGGGTTTCAAGAAGTAGTGGGAGGATCCACTTTGGTACAGGGTGCGGACGGCACCATTTGGGGGTATACCAGAGCCCAGACTCCAGAGTCGCATACTGTCAGCAGCAATGTGAGTGGAGCCTACTTGTTGGCTAGAAGGGTGCTGAGATTTAGTATATGGAGGGGGACTGGGGTTTAGTAAGGGGTGGACTGGGATTTAGTAGAGGGGGATGCTGTAGTTTAGTAGAGGGGGATGCTGCTTTTTTTCTATACTGTACTTTTCGAAATAAACCTACGGTTCTATGAAAACTGAAGTTTTAATTTTTTTGCGGCCCACATAAACTTGAACCTTGTTTATTTGGCCTGTGCTACACTTTGAGTTTGACATGCTTGATCTACAGCAAGCATTTCAAACTCAAAGGCTAACACGGGCCAAATAAAAAAGATTTAAGTTTATGTGGGCTGCAAAAAAACTAAAACTTCAGTTTTCATAGAAACGTAGGTTTATTTCAAAAAGTACAGTATAAAAAAGTTGCCTAACTGACACTGGACGTCCTCACGCTCATAGGGCTTCAAAGTAAACAAAAGAGCGGATTTATTTTAAGCAGACGTGCATTTGCATATAACCAATGTTTCAGTCCAACTACCTTGACATATTAAGAAAAGTTTGGTAATGGGTCTGAAATGGTGAATGTATGTTGTTGCACAGCTGTAAAAAATACATGACGATATCTTGTTGATTTTGAAATCCTATGAGTGTGTTCTTCACTTTGGCTGAGATCATCAAACTTGATGATCTCAGACAATCCAATGCTTTCCCATAGGGAAGCATGAGGAGGCTATTGTGCATGGGTGACAAAAACCTGTGCGGCCAATCAGCATCACTATGGGGAGCGTTCAGCGCATCCATGCAGACCCAATCTAACACACTGCCCCTCCCCCATTCTAAACACTGCCCCCTCCACCCAATCACATACACTGCACCTTAATCTAATACACGGCCTCTCCTCCCTCCACTCTGATTGAATACACTGCCCCCACTCCCACCACTCTAATTCAATACTCTGCCCTCCCTACCCCATTTTTTTTTTTTTAGACAATCTATATTTTTGTTATAGAAATTATACAGACAAAACAGGTAAGAGTATGCAGATATATGCCTCTGACATTTGCGTGGCGTCAGAACCTTGAGGAACACGTGAGGTCAATAACTTATTGAATCTGGAGGCTCGAGGATTGATATTCAGGCTCAATATGCAATCAGGCAATCGATTATGTTACAGGGGAATCATAACAAAGTAACTATTTAACAGTGTGTACATGTTTCAGCACTATAATACTAGAGACACATTATGTTTCTTATAAGTGGCAATTAATTGGAGCATTAATTGGAGCAGAGGTCAAGTTAGTTTCAACGTTTAAAACCAGAGAGACTTGCGAGTTGGTTTCAGCTCTCGTTCTCAGTCGGCTATTGGGGTTGAGTGTCTCAGCAGTAAGTGCCTCTACGGCAACCCCGCACCAATCGTTAATAACCTGCGTGCTACGGTGCCGTATATGTGGATCCCTCAGAACTAGGTGTCCCTATCTTGGTTTGGGTGCTTATGACTCACTGGGTGTGTGCGGTCATAGAGGTGGGATGAACAGGTGTCTACCTTGCTTTCTGCAAAACCTTTTCTCGTTAGTGTGTTTTGGCCTGCCTGGTGGTGCGTTTTTGCAGTAATAGGGGTATGAGTACAAGTTGACTGTATGTCGTCTGGCACCTTATGACTTTCTGCGTTACTAGAGCCATCTTGGGCTTTTGATCATGTGCGTCATGTCAGCTGTAATCTAGTGTAACCTGGGGTCGGTGGTCTCCTTTAGGTTGGGGGGAGTGCTTCATCTTTGCGACAGGTGCTTACGTGGTTCATCGGTCAATAGGTAGTGCGGGAGCGAGGGACGGCTGCATGGTATCATGGTTGTTTTAGAGGGCATGTCTGTTGTGGCTTGCGTCAGGATAAGTGTTAGGGGGGAGTGAGGAGAAGAAGGGAGCTAGGGAAGAGGTGTATATAGAAGACTTAGCTTCCCGCCTCTCAAGCCGAGAGATACTGCAGCCATTGCGCCCAGGTTCATGTACATTTCTCCACTCTCCCCAGTAGAATTGCCTTTAGGGACTCCATGTTGTAGATTTCTCCTATTCTATTTGTCCATTGCTGGAAGGTAGGCGCACCCCGTTGTTTCCATAGTGTGGGAATTAGTGATTTTGCTCCCTAGAGTCATTTTAATACACTGCCCCTCCATTCCCCAATTTAATACACTGCCCTCCCCCCAATTTAATACACTGCCCCCCCGCCACTCAAATACACTGCACCTTCCCCAATTTAACATATTGCCCCTTCCCACCACTCTAATACTCTGTCCTCCTATCACCACTCTATTACACTGCCCCCTCCTTCCTCCAAATTAAATACACTGACCCCCTTCCTCCCTAAATTAATACACGGCTCCTCTTCCCATCTCGAATATACACTCCCCACTCCCTCCCCCAATTTAATACACTGGTCCCCTCCCCTCCTCAAATTAATACAGTGTCCCCTCCCTCAAATTAATACTCTGGCCCCTCCCCCCCCCCAAATTAATACAATGCCCTCCCCCAATTCAACACACTTCCCCCCACCACTCTAATACATTGCCCCACTCATTCCCCAGTTTAATACACTGGCCCCTCCCTCTCCCAAATTAATACACTGCCCACTCCATCCCCCCTTTAAGACACTGGCCCTCTTCCTCAAATTAATGCATGCCCCTTCCATCCCCCAAATTAATACAATGCCCCCTCCCCAATTTAACACACTACACAGAAAGGTCCCCCAAGCCCCTCTTCTCCTACTTTAAGATGACCCAGCCATCCTCCAGTTCCAGCTCTGCTCTGCTCAAGCAGGCAGGAGGGAAGAGGGAGTGGCTGACCTGCTCTGTAGACAGACAGCCACTCCGCCCTCTTGTGGACGCTGGAGATAATACAAGAATCAGACAGGAAATATCTTTCCTGTCTTACGGCTGGTCGCATCCACAGCACAAAGTGGCTCCAGGGCAGGCGGGCCGCATATATATTTATTATGGGGCTGTGCGGCCACAAGTTTGACATGCTTGATCTAGAGAATGTGGGAACTTTGCATGTCCACGACCTATAGACACCATAACAACTTCATTGAGATGAACTCCAAACATGTTTTGGTGGGGTCACGTTTACCTTTTGAAGCCAGCAGCGGTGTAGAGTAGAATCTGTGTGCGGTGTTCTCTGCTGCTTTTATTGAGAAGAAGTTGCTATGGTGCCTAGAGGTGTCCTTTAATTATTTCACTCCAGATCATCATGACTGTGGGAGATTTGTCCCCTCTTATTCCCCATAATCCCTCTATGCACATACAAACACTACACACAAGTACACCACTGCTTTCAAATAGCAGTAGATACAAATATACAACTGCATTCAAATGCCAACAACACACACAAATACATACATTGATTCAAACACACAAAAACATGCTTACATTCAAACACAAACACTGCTCACCAATACAGCTCTGCAATGATGGGTACATGGTAGCCATGCTTACGTTGGAGATGGGCCTTAAAAAAAACATGGTTGGGGGCGGGGCCTGCCCGCCATGCTGACCGGTCGCATGGCCCTGAGGCGCCAACTAACTGTAACTCTAACCGGCAGAAATCAGGGACTTACCGCTGACAACCGCTGACAACCGGGCGGTATAGCCAGCTAAAGTGTGCAGGAGAGGGTTGGCGCCACTGTGGACTCCGAGAGTGGGAGTTTTGAAGCCCCGGTGGTACGAGACTTCGGAGCCTGTGGCCTACTCGGGGAAGAAGCTGGGCAGACAGCCGCTGCCCTACTCAAATGCCTG